ATTGAACCGCGGTCCCTGTGCTTTGCTAAGCTTGTTCTAAGTAGGTGCTTTAGACCACTGAGCCATCTCACCAGCCCCCCTCTACTTTTAATAGTGGCATAAATATTGAATTTAATTGTTTTAGCATCTGTCAATATTGGGTTTGTTTTTGTGTCATTGTTGTTAGTACAGTTTGAATGGTTGGGCAATCAGTCCTCAATAGAAGGCAGAACACTAGCAGAATTTCATGTACAAGCAAAAGAGATCTCCATCTCAGGAATTGCACAAATCTCAAGAAATAGAAGCAGTGAAAAAGGCCATATGACTCTTCTGAAGGTATCTAAACTTGTCAATAACTGAATGCAAAGATGTCTTAAGTAGAGTCTGCCATTGTGGTACCAGTCTGCTATCCCACTAGCCAGGGACACTTAAGGCAGGAGGATTGCAAGTTTGAGCCCAGCCTAGGTAATTTAGCATCTTAATGAGAGTGTGCCTCAAATTAAAAGATTTGAGGATGTAGCTCAATGTAAAGCTCTTGATTTAAACTCCAATATCTCCTGTGCCCCCACATTCCCATGGATGAAATGTAAAAGTTAGAATAAATGCTGATTTCATTCTTTTTGTATGGGGAATTGAACTTAGGACCTTGTGCTGACCAGGCAGGCACTGTGTCACTGAGCTATATATCCTCATCCCCAAAGAACTGATTTCTAAAATAATGACTTCAAACAAGACACAGATAAATAGGTAAATGAATTAAGAATGCAAGATATAAAGGAGCTATGAAATAAAGATAGATGTACTTCTTTAAAATCCATTTTTAGTACAGGGTCTACAGGGTCTTACTACATAGCTCAGACTCATAGTGATCTTCCTGGTTTCAGCCTCCCAAGTGCTAGGATTGCAGGCCTGTGTCACCACGCCTAGTCTCAGTCGCCATCTCAGGGCACCCCAGTGTGCCCTCAGGGTGGGGCCAGCAAGGTATTCTGGGGATCAACCCTAGTCTTTGCTCTAGTCCTCTGAGCTATCTGACTGGCCAAGATAGATTAAAGAGGAAACAGATATTAACCTTGGAAATAAAAAGTACATTAAGTCAAAAAAGCAGTGAAAAGGCTTACCAACAGCCTAGGTAAAGTAGAAGGTCCAATTTTAGAACATGATAGATACTACATAAAGAAAAAAAAGAACCCAATACCCAGGAACTGTAGAACACAGTTAAAAGACTAAACTTAAGGATTTTTTTGGAGCAGAATAGACCACCAATGTTTGGAGGAATGGCACAGAAATCTATTGAATGAAATAAGAACAGAAAACTTCCCAAATTTTAGGAAAGATGTAGACATCCAGGTACAGAAGGCATTTACAACTTCAAACAGATGGAGAGAAAAAAACATTTTCTCAAGCTTTCACAGAGAGCAAATTGGTCAAGCAATGGCCGTGACTCATCCTCATGGCTGACATTGACAAAAGGATGTACAAAGGGTGGTACAGGGCTACAGGATAAATCCTGAGGGTACTTGACTGACCTTATCAGATACAAAAGTTACATTTTTTGTTATATAGGTCTTGCTATATTTTGGTCTTAAACATCCAGCAGAAAAGTATAAAAACGAGATATATAAAGTAAATCCATTTTAATACGATGAGCTGTAAAAGGCTCAAGTCAATAACTTCTGAGGATAACCCACTAGTATTATAGACTGCCAGACAGTGTTAGATTGTTTAGTTGAATTCAAACACCTATAGTATTTAGATGCCAATAGAATATTCACCTCTGACAGGACAAAAAAAAGGATACAAAGGAAAGATCATTTTGTATTTATATATATACAAAATAGGATAAATTTACAGCTACTTTCGCTTAATTCGGTGAGAAGAAAGTGGTGTACTAACAGTGTTTGGACAGAATATCCTGTCTGCTTCTTGTACTACGGATAACCACTAAGAAGATAACATTGTACAATGTATTGATTATCAAAACTGTCCTATTAATCAGCTGTGAAACTGTCTCATTCATATTTATTTCTCAATTAAAAAAAAACTAACTTCAAACAGAGATGACTAGAAAAGGATCTCCTCACATGACATTATAGTTAAAATGTGACGAGTTCAGAAGAAGAATATTGAAACCCGTAGAAGAGGAACAACAATTTAAATGCATAGGCACACTCTTAAGAAAGCTGCATGCTTTTCTGTAGAAACTCTAAAGTCCAGAAGTACATAGAATGATATATTTCAAGCCCTGAAAGGAAATAACTGCCTACCTTGCAAAAACTATTCCTTCAAATCACAGGAAAAATAAAGACTTTTCAGATAATCATATGAAAAATTAATGACCACTAAGCCTGCATTGCTGAAGATTATAAAAGAATCTGAACATATAGAACAGGAAGAACAAAAAACGAAACAAAAAAACCCAAAAAACCCCAGGAAGAACAGATAAGCTATTGAGAATTACAAAAGAATCAAACATTAGTAAGACTAAAACTTGACAGCAAGGAGCACACACTCTTCTGTAATAATTTTGAACATAAATGTTCTTAACTCTCCAATTAAAAAAATGGCAGGCTAGTTTAAAACTCTTTTTTGCCTGAAAGAAACCAATCTCATGTGATAGTAGAGACATCTACAGACTGAAAATGAAAGGATGGAAAATAATATTCTATGTAATTGGAAGCTGAAATCAAGATTTCAAGACCAAATTAGAAGAGATTAGAAAGACTATCACATATTTTGCTAAAGGCAATTATTTTAACAAGAACCTGTAACAATTATACATACACAGTTGGTACTGCCATGCCCAGTTTCATAGAACAGACACTACTAAACAAAAAAAGGGCACATAAATTTCAATACAATAATAGGGTTTAACCCTAATCCTAAATACTAGGAAGACTATTTGGCCAGAGAAAGAAAAGAAGGATACAGATAGGAAGGCAGAGAATTCAAATTATCCTTACTTTCAGTTAATGTGACCCTATACTTAGAAACACAGACTCACTGAAAGAATTTCGGTAAATTTAACATGTAGGACACCAAGTCAGTGTTACTGCTTTTACACAGTTCATTATTGAATGAACTAGCTAAGAAAGAAATCAGGAAATTACATTCGTAATTGTTTAGATAAAAACAACCCAAGGGTTCAGCCTAACCACGGAGGTGAGAAACCTGTAGAATGAAAATTATAAAGCACTGAAGAAAGAACCCAAACATACTAGAAGATGGAAAGACTGCCTGTACTCACGGATCTGCAGAATTAATATAACTAAAGTGGCCGTA